ATATGGCAAGAACTAATGGTCTTCTCAATGTTGAGAAATACAGACAGATACATATCCATCCTTCAATGTCATCAAGGAAGACATCTGATTGGACCCAAATGTATACTACAGCACGACAAAAAACAAAATCATTAAAGGAACACTATGGTCACCAAAACAACTTTAGCTTAATGAAGCAGTTTTGGTGTATAGATCATGCCCATGCAGTCTCACTGCTCAATTATCTTTAATTAGGAGTTAAATCAATTTGTTTATGCAGTCCTAGTTGCATCGTCAAGCATTATGGCAGCCCAAGAATGAAAATGAACCCCATTATGACATACCATTTGCAAAAGTAGACAACCCAGGGTAAGTAAATGGGGCATATCTAGTCATTTGTAGTGGCCAATTAGTCACAAACCCTCGGAAAGTTAGTGGTCATATTTGTTTTTGTAATTTTCACACAAAAACTGCCCTTTCACCGACGATATCATTGTCATCATACATTTTACTGCTCTAAAACACTGATATTGGTGGTCAGCAATGTCTCAAGAGTATAACAGTACCCCTTGTGTACAGGTTTTATGGGGTTTTGGACAGTTACAGAGTCAAATATAGAGCTTGCAAATTAAATTCTCTGGACTCTGCCTGGGTTATCAGGCAGGTCACCAATACATAATTAGTAAAATAATGTAATTATGTATAAATTATATATAATGCATAAATATACATTTAGAAATAAATATATATATATATATATATAATTTCATTCCAAGTGTGTATTGATACTAATTTATACAATTATATTTATCTATGGGAAAACATTGAATTGGATGAGAATGTCAATTTTGATGAACTCAGCAAAGGAGATGGAACGGGATTGGCGCCACCTGCGATGACACATGCAGTGCTGGAAAATAGATTAGTGTAGTCACCTTTTAGTTTTCTAACATGGGTTCCGGAGACCTGAACTATGTTTTTACAAGTATACCGGTAATGTCAGGAATACATGTACGCATTGTTACATTACAGCATTCTGTTTTTTTTAGCAGGGGATTTTCTTTGGAAACCCTCCTGTCTTGGTCTTTGAACTAATTTCTCTTCTCCAGCATAAAAACTCTGCATCCTGCACGGCAGCCTTTTCATGTACCACCCATCAGCATGAAAACAGTGATATAGTGCCAGGAAAATATTATGGATTTTGAAAACCTTTTCCCCATTCTTTAACATTGCCAGATTTCCTTGTACTCCAGTGACCTACACTGCTCATACATAAATAAATAAGCACCCTGTAGGTTAACAATGATTTAAACGCAGCCCTGATAATGTTTTTTCCTGGAATTTATATAAGCATTCCCAGAAAAAAAAAAAAAGCAAAAGGGTGAGCAATATTTGCCCTAATTGGTAGCCGTCTATAAACTATACTCGTGCCACCTAGTGGCTGAATCATGGGTACTGCAGAGCTTTGACCACAGTCGTGGAGGAGTGTCCGTGCTGGGCTGTTATAACGCCGGGCTCCAATGTCTGAAGACCATTAACAGTGGGCTGGCCTCCTCCCGCGCATGCGCGCTTGGTGTGTGGTTCATCCTCCTGTACAGGAAGGGAAGAGTCGCGGAGTGACTCTCAGGGTTCCATACAGAGTGTTTAGGATTCCATGTGCACGGGGTTACATTGTACCCGTTCCCAGCTGTCTCAAGTCACTCTGACATCTACCTGTTGGATACTTGTCTTTTTTTTAATTTTTATTTGGGAAGAGGGGGCTGATCAGCCAGCCCCCTGCGTGTCTATCTGATTGCTTGGAGTAGAGGGGGGATCTACGGATGAGGCACCATGTCCAAAACCCTGAAGAAGAAGAAACACTGGTTGAGTAAAGTGCAGGAGTGTGGGCTGTCTGGGCTGGGGGGAGATCCCAGCTCCCTGCTGGAGGTGCGGGGGGGCGCAGAGCATGGAGAGTTCCCCTATTTGGGGCGATTGAGAGAGGACGTTGCCAGCTATATAGCGGGCAAGGTGCCCAGCCAGGGAGACGTCCTGTTGGAGGTGAATGGGACCCCGGTGAGTGGCCTGACACACAGGGACACCTTAGCTGTGATCAGACACTTTAGGGAGCCTATCCGTCTGAAGACTGTCAAACCCGGTAAGTGTCTTGCACACACTATTCCTATGCACAGTGCTAGCAAAATAACCAGGGAGGCTTGCAGTTGCCCTCCTTGACCAATGATTGCTAAGGCTTGGCACTCCCATCTTTTTTGTATAGTGTTTCCCATGACTTGACAAACCTTTTTCATCCCAGTGGCACTGAACTGTACTTCCTAGGATGCTCATCCAAATCCATGGCTAGACATCTAGGGATTAGTAGTCCACCATAGCTGGAGCTACAGGGCTAAGCTACCACTACCATAGACTTGATCTTCACCCTAATAAAGAGCTGGATATTAATGTACTGCAACTCCCATCAGCTATTTGTGGTAGGGGTTGATTAGGCTTGGTTATTGTTCTCAGTCAGAAAAGTGATTTCTTTCAATTTAGAATAATATTTAAGTAGAACTTGCCTTTTTGTGATGTTGAGATGTAGCATGTGTATATTTATTTATTTGTCCAAAATTGCAGAGGGGTGTGTGTGTTGTTTTTTTTTGTTTTTTTTTTGAACCAACTAATGTTAGTGTAATATATTGTGTATAAAAAGTTGCTCATTCTAATTAAGCTATACAGAAATTACAGTACATTGCAAAACAGGTATAATGTAATATCACAAAATTTAGTTTCTACTGTGAATTGGATTTAAGATGTATAATGTCCATCTACTATTAAAATTCCTTTTATTAAAATAGAAGCGGTGTGTAGTGACAGACTGGTGAGCTTAAATTGTAATCCTGTCTATTATTTTCTCTTGAACCATCGGCTTAAATATAATTTAGGTGAAGACTATGTATACTGAGGTGGTGGTGGTTGTGTGTTTTTTTTTTTTTTTTTGCTAGTCTGAAACCATCATGAAACTGTTTCTAAGAATTCTAGGGTCACTTTCCCTAAATGCTATATTGCTGTATATTTATCCCATTACCCGCTTTATCATTTGAACATTATTGGTATTTTATGCTATTTGATTATGAGGGGTTTGAAAATACACTATGAAGAAAATTGGTGTTGCACATAAATATTCTGGTAAATTAATGTCATATGGTAATGCTATATTGTGACTTGATGGTACATAACCACTGTTCCATGTAGTGGCTATCCAACATGTCATATTTACTAAATAGAAACAATACATGGCTAACTTGGACAAAACACTTAAAACCCCTTTTTTTTTTTTTTTTTTAAATGAAGGAAGGTGTGCAAGGGCTGTCATTACATAATTTGCCCTGCCATGAAGAGGTCATGCTCATAGTGTCTGTTGCTATTTTAAGCATATGCTTACAATATTGGAATATATTTGTCTGCATAGGGTCAGTGGTGGCAGCCATTTTTGTTTTCTAGTAGGCTACAGAGATGAAAATTGTTCTATGTTCCTGTACCAGCACAGCACTGTTCATTGAAATATTTTAATACTTGCTAGTGAGCTACAACGTAGACATTGCTTTTGTTCTGCAAGATTTCTTTTTATAACCATTTTTGCAGGTTTTATTTATTTTAAATCCATTTCTCAGTTCTCTTCATCACCTTCTCTGACATCAGTCATGTAATTCTGTGTACTAAGCAGCCAATGGAGTTTGTGGCCTCTCACTAGTAATCCATCTTTTCTACTGCAGCATACTTGATTTCCTCCCTCTTCCAAAGCAGCTTTAAACTAGAATTGGGTTTCTTTTCAATTTGCATTTAGTAAATCACTGGAGCTTGATCATGAAACTATTAAATGTTAGAGGAAGCATGAGAGCAGTATGTGTGATATTATAAAGGGGGGGTGTCCATGCGGTATCACATTGCCAACTTATGCAGATGGAATGATAGAGCATCCCACACGAGACCACTGTGTATATTGTGGATTTCCCACAAGGCCATCTTTACCATGAATAGGGTGATCCGGTTTCCTAGCTGTATGAGAAAAATAAGCAGCTAGACAATACCTTTTTCTGATGTTAGAAGTAAAGTACTAACGAATACCCACCAGCAGTTAAAGGGTAGCATGGCATCTGGTAGCCACTTCTACAAATTACAGTTTGCTAAATGTTTTCCACACTCTGGGTTTGCCTCGGCCAGTAATGGCTAACCTGAGTACTGCAGATGTTAGAGAGGATATAGTCACAGCATCATGGGAAATGTATTTCACAGACATCTGCAGTGCCAAGGTGAATGGTCTAGAACTCCAGATCAACAGTGCTAAAGTCAGTAGTTAAACACTGCAGATCCAATGTGTTTGTCTATTCTACTTAACTATATGGAATATCCAGCACATGGCCAGTTCGAAAAAGATGGTGTTTAAATAATTTTTTTTTTTTACAAAAGTGAATCATTTATTTTTAATTCTAAAAACAAAAATATGAATCCAATAAAGTTAAAACCAGTGCAGGTTAAGTGCATGCTGTAATGCGTTCAGCACAGCAGAAATCGGAGATATTTTTATTTAATTTATTTATGGTGTTTTTTTTTTTTTGTTTTTTTTTATGTGTTCACTTTTTTTGTTTTAGGTTGTTTTTTGTGTGTGCCTTTTGTACAGTGCTGGAGAATATGCAAGGATTTTTTTTTTTTTAAATCTTGTATCAAGAATTATAAAACCTTGATCGTCACTTTTGTTATGTATTTATTTTTTTACTTGAAAATGAACGTGAATCCTCTACCATTGTTGATATAGATGTCTTTTAATGCCAATAAACTGAATTTTGCTTTACAATGCTCTCCGTTCTGGATAGATGTGTATGAATAGAAGTGTACTTCTGAACTAACCCTACATATAGTTGCTGTGATAGCTCACTAGTTACTACTGAGTCAACTCAGCTATTCTTACTCTGTCAAAAAATTGATTGCCATTTGAGTTAAATAATAAACACAATCATTATCCCAGAAGCTACATGGACACCTGAAGGCTAAATGTATTCTTACTGGTTTAAAAATGTGTGTGTGTGTGTGTGTGTGTGTGTGTGTGTATATATATATATATATATATATATATATATATACATACACACACTTTTAAACCAGTAAGAATACATTTAGCCTTCAGGTGTCCATGTAGCTTCTGGGATAATGATTGTGTTTATTATTTAACTCAAATGGCAATCAATTTTTTGACAGAGTAAGAATAGCTGAGTTGACTCAGTAGTATATAATTTCATTCAATGAAAGCTAGATTTGTTTAGTATTGTGAAGTTCTTTACAGTTTTTTTTGTTTTTTAAACTATGAAGATCTTTAGTATTTCCCATATCTTAAATAATATCACCCCTTCTTCTTCTAATTCTTCTTCTTAAATTGCTCTATTGTGTCCTCATCTGAGGTGACGTTTTTACCTATATCTAAAAATTGTCAATGTAAATTGCTTTCTGCCAAACTCATTTAAGGTTTTGATGATTCTCAATATTTAAAGGAATACTGTAGGCACCAAAACCACTTTAAAGTATTGGTTATGGTGCCTACAGTCTGTGTCTGCCGAGTAAATCTTTAGTAAAGATTCTTGATCCCAAGCAGCCTGAAGCTCCGCCTCAAACGACAAAATGGCAACGGCGGAGCAGTCCTACTCTTAAAGTCATACCAGGGTAAAGCGGACCACAAATGGCTGAGAACGTCAGCCGAGATCTCTCCGCCACATACTGCGGACTACCCCTGGTATAATTTGCAATGGTGCAGTGCAGAAATATAGCTCTGCCTCCCCACATATCGTCATTGGAGGCTGGGCTGAAAAATTCTCACACTTTAGCAGTAATGCGGGACCCAACACACAATCTCCATGCACCATAACCACTTTCATGCGTTTAAAATGGTTATGGTACCTATAGTGTTCCTTTCACGCTTATTAGTTTCTTTTTAAACTATATTTTTGTGGCATACATTCCTCCTGCCTATTTAATTTGGTAGATGTTATTTCATTAAACCTATTAACCATAGATTACTGCTCTGTACCACTCATCATTCACCTTGCATACCAGTAATATAAAACTGTCTGTTCTCCATGCAACTCCTTGTTTCTTGCATATTATGCCTCTTTAGCTTTCATTCTGGGAGTTATAAATCCCTGACAAGTGATGAGATATTCTACTTGGTGATAATTTCCATCCGCTTTAGAAGAGACACTATCATAAAATACATGTGAGTGCTGCAGTCCTGGCATTAGGAAAATGTGTGTGCCCAAATGATTTGCTTTCTATTTTTTATTGATCGGAATATCTGAGTGTATGTCAACACATAGCGTCTCTATAGAATCTATTCCTATTCTTGTCCATCATTAAATATTTCATCTCGTGTGATATATAATGCCAGCTGAATTTAAAGGATAACTATTTGGTCAGGAACACAAACATGTATACCTGACAATATAGTGCTAAACCGACCATATAGGTGGCTTTCCCCCCCTCTAGATGTTTAAAACTCACCCTATTTCCAGCGCCGCACGGGTCTGCGGCACTGGCTCTGCCCCCTTTGTGACATCATCAAAATGGCCAATTTTTAGCCAGTCCAATGCTTTCCTATGGGAAAAGCATTGGATTGGCTAAAATCGGCATGGGGCGGGGCCAAATGGCGTTTTGGCCAAATCAGGACCTCCTCATAGAGATGCATTGAATCAATGCTTCTCTTTGAGGAAAATTCAGCGTCCCCATGCAGAGCATGGGGACGCTGAACGGCAGGGCTGCTTACTGTGCAGCCCTAAGCCAGGAAGCCCCTCCAGTGGCCATCTAAGGAGTGGCCACTTGGAGGTGTCCCTAGAGGCAATGTAAACATTCTATGAAAAGGCAGTGTTTAGATGAAAATGCCTGAAGGGAGCTGTTAGCTATAGTGTCCCTTTAATCTTTACCCATAAATAATTCCTCTAGATTTGTAAAAGGCATTTAAAACTTATACCAGTATACTGTCTGTGGTGTATAGTTGTCTTTTTGTTGTTTCTATCTATTCATCGTGTATAGCTATCATTTGTGTATATCTTTTGTCCTGCGGCTCTAAAAAGACTTCAGCCGTGTGAATTTGAATGATTATGTAGTGAAAAGGATTGATGAGAAAAGGCTACAGTTTTTACAAATGTATGCTGTCCATTATGTTATTCCTGCTGTTATTACTATAGATGTGAATATACACGAAGAAGAAAAAGTGTGTGTGTGTGTGTGTGTGTGTGTGTACACACAATTTAACATTTATTTTTTTAACTTGTATGTTTTAGACTGGTGTACGCGCCTTGTAGTGTGAATGTTATGAGCATGCAGTGTGTGCTTACGACTTGTAGTGATTGGTTCCCCAGGGAAATGGAGTGACTAAGCTGTCCGAAATCAAGAAAGCCTTCTCAGAGCTGTTAAATCCACTGAGGGCAAATTATAGAGCTACAATATAAGCAAGTAGGCTTTAGGCTCTTGGGATTCCAAAGGATTTTGTCAAACTCGTTCAAAAAAGGAGGGCATGCAGAAATAGCTTCATTAAGCATCACAATACACTATAGTTGTTATGGTGCTTGGAGTGTCCCTTTAAACACAACTACATACATTCAGAAAGTATAAAGGGAGCACAGTGTGTGTAAAGGGGAACAGGACCATCTGCTGAAGGGAAAAGTACACTTTTATTTGAACCGTGTGAAGTATGGTATGAAAATATGGCAAAAAAATATATATTTAGCTATCCATGTAAGAATGGCTTCACTCAAAGCCAAAAGATTTGGTAATGATTTGCCGACTAGACCAACTTTTATAGTGAAGCAGGCAGCAGCCCCTGGGCAGACAGAACTAAGTCATCGATGTATCTTAAATACATGAACTACCAGTCTGCTGGGAAGATGAGCTATGAAGGATTTTATTTATTTTTTTCATCTGACATTGATAGAGAATGTGCTCTGTGGGAGATTATATGGATATGGCTCAGGGCTATTTTCCAAAAGGTTTTAAGTAGCTGGGGCAAGACCACTAAATCTGAATAGGCTTAGTGGTGAGGCTCCATTCTGTTATTCATTGAGATAGGAAGAGTTGATTTGTGTGAAGCATGTATGAAATGAAATTAATTTGAATCATTTCTGCTGGTGACTCTTGCTAATTAATTGAGTGTGTGAGGGGAAAACACATTTTAAATGAAATGGGGAAAGCTAAATATTGAGTTCATATTTTAATATATGGTTGATCTTTCCACGAAGAGATCAGCAATGAAACTTTGTTGTCCTACAGCACATTAACATCATTCGGCATCATTTTGCTAAGTATTACGGCAAACGTTGCTGTTTCTCAGAAATGGGAATATTTACATTTGTCTTGGACAGCATCTATGCACCAAAACCACTTCATTACGATCTAGTGAATTTGGTGTTTAGAGTGTAGGAAAGGGTTCTATGACTGTATTACACCCATACAACAGCGTAACCGCAATGTGTGTCTTAAGTGTTAACAGTCACAGAGGTGATACACCAGTGAGCCCCAATGTATGGGAGAAAGAATAAGCCAAAATATTCTCACATAAGTGAGGAGAGGGCTCTCTGGATATATACCAGTATCTAAAGTAATGATGTGATCTCTGTGGTGGAGACAAATGTAACAAAAACTAAACTTATAAGCAAAATGGCTATATACATAAATTATTTAGCCGTGTAAGGCTATTCCTATATTAGATGAGACAGGTCTACCACACAATATACATGACTGGCTTAATTGTTGGTAGAAAGTAGGTCCAGTGTATGGTTGACTCTGTATGTATATTAGTCAGATTTGAGCAAAGATAATCACAGTATGTGTATGAAATTAATATACAAAGTAATCATGCTAATACTTGCATGTATTTTTTTTTTTTTTCTGATGTTGTGATGGTAATTGCAGGATAGTATCAATACATGTGGAAAGATATAGGTCTGTCAAGTGCTGTGTTTAATACAGTGTCAAAGGGTGTGTTAACTCAGCATGGCTGGTCTTCGCATAGACTGGTAAGAAGGGGATATAAGGAGGAAAATTGTCGTAAGCCTCGCTCCCGGTGTTTAGAGTGTCCCTTTAACTGCATTCCATTGTTGATGAGAACACAATATATGTGAATTGATTTTAAAGGGAACAATAATTGAAAAAAAACAAAAACTGTTGGAAGCATAAGTGGATATTTATCAAAGTGTATTAAAAAATGTAGGGAGCTATAAAAGCTACAGATGAAGACACCGGACAGATTTAATATACTGTACCAAAATTTCACCAAAAACTAGATAAATCTTCCCCCATTGTGTATAATGGATGCTTTTGTAAAATGGTTCTACCTTTTTAGCTGGGATACCCATACAAGTATTAAATATTTTTAACTCTTTAAGGGTATGCTTTGATAAGTGGCATGTCACGACTTTGATTTCAGGTTTCAAAATTATTTGTGAAGAAGGGAACATATATTCCTCTTATACCAAGTATCTCTTTAATGGTTCCCCATCTCTCAATGCATCTTGCCTTCTCCCTCTATATTATTATTATTATTATTATTATTATTATTATTATTATTATTATTGCTATTTATATAGTGCCAACTTATTCTGCAGCGCTTTTCAATATTTTGAGAGGGGGAGATCTAACGATAAATGAGAAATGAACAATAGGTAGATTAGGACCCTGCTCCAGCTAGCTTACAGTCTAGAGGAGGTGGGGTTTAAAAACGCAATAGGTTTATGGTACCTTTTCTCAAATACCATGCAACTATGTATGTGTGTACTTTACAAAGTTTTGTGTCTGTGTTTGCAGATGAAACAAAACTATAAAGTAATACCATGTGAGCAGGGTATTACTTCAACAAACTAGGCAATGTGCAGTGTCAATCGGCAGTTGCTAAGGTCTGTAAAGTATTGTCATGTAAAGAAAGGGAATTAAAGGTATACTCTAGTACCAGGAATACATATCTGTATACCCATCACTGCATTAAACTCACTCCCCCAGGCAGTATAAGGGTTACTAAACTCTTCCTTTACTTACCCGATTCCAGCATCTATCTCCCTCTGTGCTAAGTCGGCACTCTGCCTACTCGCAGGGAGAGGGTGGCGCTAAAGCCTAAGACATGGAACCAAGAGAATACA